CCGATGCCAGCTCGCTTGCCAGCTTCATCACCTCCTGCAAGAGCACCTTCGCCGCCGCCGGCTACACTGGCCAGATCACCACCACCGAGCCCGTCGACATCTGGCAGGAGTACGGCGCCAGCTACCTGTGCGACGCCGTGGACATCCTTGGTGCCAACATCCACCCCTTCTTCAACGCCCAGACCACCGCCGAGGAGGCTGGTACCTTTGCCAGTTCCGAGTTCGCTCTCCTGAAGACCATCTGCTCTGGCTTGAGCATCATCAACCTGGAGACCGGCTGGCCGAGCCAGGGTAACGCCAACGGTGCGGCCGTCCCCGGTGCCTCCGAGCAGGCTACTGCCATCAAGGCCATCCGTGAGGCCGTCGGTGGCGACTCCGTCTTCTTCTCGTACGCCAACGACCTGTGGAAGAGCCCCGGCGAGTACGACGTCGAGCAGTACTGGGGTTGCATTGACCAGTTCTAAGCATCTGGAGCTGGATCTGTACAGTTAAAGGCCATGTGTTGATTTGATTTGGCTTGGAGTTTATTTTCTTTTTCTCGTGGGTCCATCGTTGCGGGTGCATGACATACGATCGGACTGTCAACCTTTTTTTCCTTCTTCGTACACTTGGACCAATTTGTAGTAGATATCATTTTCTTTCTGACTGACTTCTGATCAATGTGTCTACTCACCGGGTGCATCCGCCTTCCTTCCACTTCAGAGTTGTATATGCTAATTTCATTACGGATTCACGATGAAGTATGTCGGACAACGTTTGTAGAGATTTGGTGTAGTGGTAGACATGGTGACGTGAAGTAATCCGACGATTGGGCCCTTGGTAGCTTGGACAGGGCTCGCTTTTGTGGGGTTGTGTGGTGTGGTCATTGTGCAGTAGGATGACATTTTGCATGGATAGGTTTCACCGAGACTCCACGATGAATCTCTGGGTTGAGGTATGCAAGGGACTCGATGAATGATCAATGATCATCAATGCTTGTGAGGGAAATTGTGCATCCAAGCTGATGTTGCGGTCAAAGACAGCCTGCTGACTAACGCGGAATCCTGCCCAGCACGACAGCAGGAGTCAGGACAAAAGTACGTATGTACAGCAACTGAGAGTACATGTTGGGTTGAAGGGACAGTCACCACTAGTCGTTAGGCGAATTCGGAAAAAGGAAACAACCAAACAGAAGAAAGAAAGGAATCCTTCCATGAATAATGTTCAATAAAGGAGTATCATCTGCAGTTGATGAGATTTAGCCGACGATCCTTCGTTCCTACTGTGAAAGTAGTGTGAAAGTAGTGTGAAAGTGGCAGAGAAACCAAACCCCCACCCTCCACCATGTGACAGGCCCGATGCACGTTCTCTTTCCATCCATGATCAGTTCCCCTCATTCAGTATTAGTTATTCAATCCACTTCACTTCACTTAACTTACCTCTTACCAAGTTGGTCTTCCTGCACCCTCCACTTCCTCTTCCCTTTTTCTTTCATTACATTTGCCCACTCTGCAAATGGAATAACATTCGAAGTTTCCCTGTTCCCCTCCGATCCTTTCCTTTGCTTTTTCTTGCTTTTTCTTGCACCTCTGGGCTGCCCGTCTCGCTTGAAGTCTTCCCTCCCCCCCCCCCCGGTCGCTCGCCTGTAGCCGGGGTTGTGTGTCGCCATCCAATCCATCCTTCAACCCACCGCGTGTGCTGGAAGTGGCGTATCACCTGTCAACAATTTAAACTGCAGCGTTGCCTCTCCTGATCGGGCCTGTTTGCTGTTTCTTGCGCCTGTCAACTTGACTCAGCACTGCTCTCGACGCATATCTACTCATTTCTATTAGATCTAAGCAAACAGGCGCGTCTGTCTCCGTTCGCCTAACCGCTCTCCGGCTCCGACTCGCATTGCCCTCACTGATCGTGACCGTGTCCGTCCCCTCCGTGTGGGGGAGGAGGGAGTTGTGCTGCGGGGTGTACAACCCAACCCGGCTGCAGAGCCAAGATCCCTCCCCGGAGGTGATTGCGATCGCAAAATAATAATAAAAAAGAAAAGAACAAAAACAAAAAAAAAAAGAGACAACGTGGACGACATCCTCCGACCTGGTCCGGTTGTATCACCCGCCCCAGTGCCCCAGTGCCAATCAGCACTTGCTGTGCCGTTTCGGCTGCTTATCAGCCAGTTCGCTCGCCACCAGTTGGTCCAGTTGGTCCAGTTGGTCGCCCGAAAAAGTGAGCGGTCGCCAGTCCCGTCGCCAACCGAATTGCTCCGCGCTGCATCTGACGACCGGAATGCCTGGTCAGGTTGGGCCCGACTCTCCTTCTGCTCCTCCTCCTACTCCTCCTTCGGCCTCGTCCAGCTCGTCCGTCCGTGCAGCTGGTTCCTACTCTGACACTTCACCACGCAATGTCTCCCGATTCTCGTCACAATATCTTAGCTTGTCACCACCCGTTGCCCGTGAGGACATGATGCCGCCGCCACCGGGTGAGGGTCATCCGCCGGGCGCATCCGCAGACGTGCCCGATCCAGCACTGTCCACAGCCGTCGCCGCCCCCGAGCTTGGTCTCGACATGAGCGATCCCCGGTTGTCGGCCTTTATGGCCGTTCCGCAATATCCCAATGCCCCGAGCGACGCTGCCCCTGTCGCGGTGACGGAGATCGTCAACGCTGTGATGGAGCCGCCAGAATTCGCCCACTACGGTCACGGTCATCTAGCCGACCAAGCGACTCCCCGCCTCACCTCGTCCTCTCCCCCGGGAGAGTGGTATGTCTCCGACTCGGAGATGACCGATGCGCTTTCGGACGTTGGTGGCGTACCGCTGGGGCCATACATGGGCGATTATGACGATACCCCCGGCGCAGAGTATGCCCATGATATAGCCTCGACAATCTCCGATATCACCGATGACGATGAAACGACCGACCTGATCATGGATTACGAACCTTCGATCGCGGCGGAACGACTCCCCGCCCTGTCTGGGCTGGATGATGACCCCGATGACACCTACAAATTCTACATGGACGACGGCGATGAGGAATCCGATTTCGAGGATGCTGAGGCGCGGGTCCGTCGCAGCACGGCCGCTTTATCGGAAGTGGACTTTGATGGATTCTATCAAGGATTGGACGCCGGATACGCGCCGCAATTTTCAGATATTGTTCCCGGCGCTGCTCACGACGACTTCAATGCTTCATTCTCTGAGGGTGATGACTCGAGCGGTGTCGAAGCGCCGAATGAGCAGCATGTCGCGGACCCGCTCACTGGGATGGGTAAGTGTCTCCTTGTCCTGTGTCCTATGTATGGATTCTAAACAGCCCTCACAGTGAAAGAACGGAACTTGACCATCGACCAATTCATCGGACAATGGCTCTGTCAGTCTTACACCGCTTCGATCACTGGATTTACAATGGGCCCTGCCCCTCTGTCCCGCAGTGCGGTCGCTAATCTGCTTTCGTGGATGCCGCCGGCCAAAATCGTCCGGCCGGCTGGGTATCGATGGGACTTCTTTGATATCCAGCAGATCCCCTGGAAGGAAGCACTGCAGGTGAAACGATCCTATGCACGGAGCTTGCGAGACCAGTCATATACGTCCTATCATAACCTGGAGTATTCGCGCCAACGGCCGGGCGCGCGACTAGCACGGGACGAAACCTATTTTCGCGAAAAGGCCATGTACACGGAACACAAAGCCAGCATCGAACATTTTCAGCTGCGGAACCTGATGTCCGCGGCGGCGTATAACACGGTGCACTTTGCGCACGAATGCAAGGTCTACTCCTGGGTTCCCGCGTACGATGATTTGCGGTGTATGATCGATCTATCGAAACCGACCGTGGAGTCCGGCCTACAGGGGTCGATGAAGATCTCAACGATGCGGTCGGCGCATGACATTACTATTGCGGGCGGTTTCGCCGGGGAATACGCTTTACGAGCCATGGGCACGGATGGGCCCGGGATCGCGGGGTATGTTACCCAAGATCCGAACGGCATCACGAATCACGTCGACATCGTTCCGAGTCGCAGCAGCGGGTCGCCGCTGGGGGTGTTTGCGTCCAACGACCGGCATCTCCGGGTTCTGGACTGCGAGACCAACACGTTTGTCGCGGACTACGAGCTCTCGCGCGCCATCAACTGCACGGCGACGGCGCCGGACGGGCGTCTACGGGCGGTGATCGGCGACTCGCCGGATGCGTGGGTGGTGGAGGCGGACAGTGGGCGCCCGGTGCACCCACTGCGGGGCCACCGCGACTTTGGGTTTGCGTGCGCGTGGTCGCCGGACATGCGGCATATCGCGACGAGCAACCAGGACAAGACGGCGATCATCTGGGACGTGCGGATGTGGCGCATGCTGCAGAAGATCGAGTCCGACGTGGCGGGATACCGGTCGGTGCGATTCTCGCCGGTTGGGGGCGGGTCGCGGACGTTGCTGCTGTGTGAGCCGGCAGACCGGATCACGATTGTCAACGCGCAGACGTACCAGAGCCGGCAGGTGCACGACTTCTTCGGGGAGATTGGCGGGGCGGACTATTCGCCGGACGGCAGTACGATCTGGGTGGCCAACACGGACGAGCATTTCGGGGGGTTCATGCAGTACGAACGACGCCAATGGGGGCAACGGTATGGGCCGCAGGGGCTGCCGAATGAATGGGTGCGGGACGGGGAGCTGGACGAGGACGAGCGCCGTGTTCTGAGTGAGCGCGAGCGGCAGCAGCGGGTGCTGTGGAATCTGACGGACGAGGAGCATGAGGCGTTGATCTTGTGAGTGTGAATAGTGGTGGTGGTTTATGATTTACGTGATTGCATTGTTTAGCGGAGATACCATTGAATGTGTATACAGATTCGGGTACTGGAGTACTCACACCAGCATATTTGTATTTGTATAGTAGCTTGCATGAATTGCATGAATTGCATCATGGTGCATGAGACGAGCACAAGACGAGCACAAGATGGCATGGCACACGTACGTAGGGAGGGAGTCCATTGGGCCGAATACGAGTGGTGGCTGTCCGAGTGGCGTGGCTGAGGCAGGAAGTGGTGGATCCGAGACTTAGTACTTACTCGTACTAGCGATCGACCCCGCCGATCTACACCGCTTCAGCCACAAGTGGTGGTGACTGACTGTGACTGCCCCTCATTACGTACGTAAATAAACCAGCTGATCGACCACCACCCTTCGTCCTTCCTTCTTCTTCTCCTTTTCTTCCACCTCTTTTTATTTTCTGCTACTCATCTGTATCTGCTGACATCCACATCCACAATTACCTTCATATCCCAACACAGTTACAGTCACAGCCAGTTACAGTCAAAGACTGACTCGATCCTCACCATGTCCTTCTCCAACTTCATCTCCTCGGCCATCGAGCAGGCCGCCAGCAACTACGCTGGTGGGAACAGCGGCAGCAACAACAACAACAACAACAACAGCGGGAACGCACACCACGGTCAGGGTCAGGGCGGTTCCTATGGTGGTGAGCAGCAGGGTGGATATGGGTATGGGGGCGAGCAGAGCTATGGCTCCCAGGGCGGTTCCTACGGTGGTAGCCAGGGTGGTTACGGCGGTCCCCAGGGCGGATACGGCGGCGAGCAGGGCGGCTACCAGCACCAGCAGCACCAGCAGGGCGGGTACAGCGAGGGCGGTTCCTACGGCGGGGGAGGTCCCCAGGGCGGTTCCTACGGCGGCAGCAACGAATACGGCCACAACCCCCCCTCCCACAACCCCAGCTACGGCAACGCTCCCTCCTACGGCGGCGGCGGCAGACCCAGCTACGACGACATCTCCTCGGCAACCAGCCATGCCGAATCGCACAGCGCGGGCACCGGCTCCTCGGACCTCTTCCAGAAGGCGCTGGGCTACATCACCAACCGCCATTCCTCCCAGGAGGAGGACGACGACATCGACGAGTCCCAGATGGTGCAGTCGCATCAGGCCGTGTACAATTCCAACGAGGGCCAGCAGCATGATTCCAAGACCCTGGGCGCTGGCGCCGCCATGCAGGCGCTGAAGATGTTCACCTCTGGTTCTTCGGGTGCAAGTGGCTCCGGCGGGAAGAATGAGTTCATTGGGCTGGCCATGGCGCAGGCGAGTAAGCTGTGGGAGGAGAAGAGTTCCAGTGGCATGGCTGTATGTATCCCCTTTTGGTTTTCTTTTGGTTTGGGGGACGGGGTTGTGCTAGACGCAGGCTAATTTGTGTTTTGTGTTGGGGGCACAGTCCGGCGACAAGCAATCTGCCATCAACCAGGCCGCTGAGATGGCGCTGAAGATGTACATGAAGAGTCAGGGCAGTGGGTCGAGTGGTACCGGCGGGCCGGCCGGGTTGTTGAGTTTGGCCAGTAAGTTCTTGTAAGGTTGCGTGCCTTTTGCGGGCGGTGCGGTTGGGTTGGGTTGGGTTGGGTTGAGCATCGCCAGATGGATGTAGCATCATCGCTCGCGACGCAGATTCAGATCAGAGGGCCGGGTCGGGAGACTTGCTTGTGTATGTTCTTAGGATGAGAATCTGGATTTGTAGTTATTGCATGTATGCATGTATTGTGTTGAGATCTGTGGACTTTGCGGGAGTGTAGGTTTGAGGCATTTCGTGGTCTTCGAACTTAATCAGGTCTTGTTGGTTAGGGTTAAGGTGGTTGCTTGGTTGGGTTTGGGGAGTGGACACAGATGTTGGGCATTTTTTGGTGTCCGGGCATTTGGCTGTATGTTGAATGCGTTGAGTGGGTTGATGAAGGTCCGGTTGGTGGTGAGGGCACTATTGGACCGACTACCTACCTGTACGAGGTCTACTCTTCAAGGCGGGACGGGACGTAACCTCAACTTTCTCGAACTGCTCCGCTCCAGTCTCTCTGAACTACTTTGTGAGTGCAAACTGACTACATCACCCGAGAAGCCATTGCAATATAGACAGTGTATGTATTCTTAGGCGGATCTACCCATTTCCTCCACTGACAAGACAATGCAAACGTCTATTTACTTCTCCCAGCTATCCGGGTATAAAAGAAACCAACACTTTCGTCCCTCCCACGCAGCCCAGCTCCATGCCCCACCGCCACCACTCTCTTCAACGAGCATCTACCACTCATTGAACCGACCCCCATGATCGAGGCGGTGATTGAGGCACTACCAATCATCATCGTCGTCCTGATGATGCCCCTGCATCGCATTCTGCCGCGCCTTCAACGCCTCCGCCAATCCACCCGCCAGACTCGCGTTCGACGCGCTATTCGGCGTCGCCCGGCCACTACCTCCCGACGAATCGTGCGCCGAGTTCATGCTCACCGCGCTGTCTCTTGGTGCCGGGGGCGGCGCCGGCGCCATCTTGCGTCCGGCCATGTTCGGCCGTTTCATCGGTGGCGCGGGCGGCGCGGGTTTGGCTTTGGCTTTTGCGGCCGCGGCCGCGCCGTTGGTCGCGGGGATGGGGCTGGCGCGTGCGGTGGCCGGAGGAGGCGGCGGGGGCGCGGGTTTCGGCGTGGCCGCCGCGATGACTTGTTCTTCCAGATAGGCTTCAGGGGTCCAGCCTTGGACGGAGGTGGTCATGTTCATGCAGAGCCACCAGCCTGATGTCTTGTTAGTATGGTACTGCGATAGTCCGACACATAGGTTTGCTTACCGTTACCCTCCTTGGACACGATCTGCACGATCTCGCCGGCTCGAATGGACAGCTCGTTCGAACGGTCGCTGTTGAAGTCGTACAAGACCTTGGCCGTGGCCTTCTTCGGGGCTGGGGGCCCCGTGGGCGGAGGAGGTGGGGGTGCTCGCACTGATCCAGATGATGCAGTGCGGGTATGGGACGCGGCGGCAACGGCGGCCACAGGCTGAGGCACCGGGCGAGCCTGGGCGGCAGGTTGAGGCGCGGGCGGGGGTGGTTGCACGGCAGCTGCAGCTGCTGGCTGCTGAGGCAGTGGCTGGCGCGCCGGGGCAGGTCGCGACGCCAGCTTCGACGGGCCACCGCCCGGTCCGCCAGGCCGCAGCAGCTTGCCTGTCGTGACGGGCCGTGCGGCGACCTGCTTCGGGCGGGGGGTGGGCTTGGAGACTGAGGTGGCGGGCTCGCCGGCACTGGTGTGGATCGTGCTACTCTTGTAGCTGTCCACGTTCGACGATCCCGGATCCTTGACCACCTTCACAGTGGCCAGCTTGCCAGGTTTTTTGTTGTATTCGATGCTACACAGCGTCAGTAACGGCCATCATCGCCACTTAGAAAGAACTTACTGGTCGGCGATCTTCAGGTTCAACTGGCCGCGGAGAGCGTTGCTGAGATGGGTGAAAAATTCCGTCTTGAAAACGCAGTTCACCAGAGGATCGGGCTCCTGTCCGCCCACCACCAGAGAGAACCAGTCATCCCGGCAGTTGGACGTGCTGACAGACTTGATAGCACCAATTGGTACCGTCGTCTCCGACGAGATCTGGAGCTGATTGTTGACAAACGTTTGCGCTACAATATATACATGTCGATTTGTCTGCTTTGGTTAGTCCACGTCTAAATACCCCTGCGGTTGCAACGTACCAAAACAAGAATGCGAGGTGAAGGCTTGCTGGACCGTCCGAACTTGGACACCAGAACCTCTCCACGACACGAGAAAAGAATATTCTCCGATCCTGGATTCGTCAGTCGAGGTCATGCCAAGTGCGAAGAGCAGAACACATACCGCTAATGCCTGCACCGTTACGAATCATCTCCCCAGGTCCACCCTTGTTGCCGATCCCCACGTAATCTCCCAAGAACCGACGCGAGCCGAGCAAACTCATCCTCCGACGCTCTTTACGGTTCTGTAGCACCTGGTGACCCTGGTCACGCAGCTTGATGAACTCAAGACCACCGGTCATCCGACGCCAGAAGCGCTGAATGCGAATCGCGCACTCGGTCCGGTAGCGCAGGTAATTGCGCCAAGCGCGCTGAATCCGGATCGCCATGTTGTGCCAGTAGCGGTCGCGCATGGCCTCCAGCGCGAACAATGTCTCCGGAGTCTTGACGAAGACCTTGGTGATACCCATCTGGTACTCTTCGGTGGGAATGCTGGTATCCTTCAGGATCTGCCGAGCACCAGACTCGGCATCGCCTGTCCACGTGTAGTCACCAGCGTATGAGGTCTTGGGCGACAAAAGGTAGAACCGCTCCACGAATTTGTCAAAGGTTTGACGGTAGGCGAAACCCGCACGACGGATCCGAACGTTTTCCTGCAATCCCAGATATTTGATCTGATGCAGAACATTGCCCACGTTATACTCCCTAGGAGCCTTATTATCGTTCGGCTTGATCGTACGGATATACGACGGCTGAGCCTTCATCAGAGTCGCCACAAGGTCGTTGGCAGAAGCCTTAATCTTGTCGCTTGCAGTCGGTGGACGTCTCTTGTCGTCCTGATTGACCTGGTTGGGGAACAATGTGTGAACGAACTGATTGCCACTGGATCCCACAAGGTTCAACAGATCCTTGAGCAGTTGGTCCTTGTTCTTGTCGGTCATTCCTTCCACAGCGTAGCTGACATCACCCGCGTAGTGCTTGACAATGAATTGGCCTTGTCGGTTCTCAAAGTTCGGGTTCTGACCCAAGAAGTTGAGTCTCCCGACAAAGGTGTTGTCCGCGGCGCTCGAATCGGCGTGTGCGGTGGCGCAAGCGTCGTTGAGCGCAGCAAAAACACCGGGAGGCCGCTTGTCTTCGATCAGCGAACACACGACCTTGTTGTCGAAGTACTTGATCGGAGTCCATTGAATCTGCTCGCGCGCATATTCATCCTGCTCCGCCTTCAAAGTCAACTGAATGAAAATCTGCTGCAGCTTTTCGTTGACGTAGTTGATGCACAGCTGTTCGAACGAGTTCTTTTCGAAAATCTCGAACCCATAAATATCCAAGATACCGATGGAGTTGGTGATCGCGCCTCGGGCGGTCAGTGACGAGTTGACACGTCCCACGATCCAGTCAAACAAGTTGAAGTAGATGGCCTTGGCCAATGCGTCGCGGACAGCCACGGCTTGCACCGTGTTCAAGGGAACCTCGTAGACCGACCCTCGGCGGCCGCCACGGGCAGTCTCCATCAGACGGATGGTGAGCGCCTTGTTGACTTGCGCAGCATCGACCTCTAGCAGATATGCGACGAAATCGACAACCGACTGGTCCGTAATGGCGGCATTTCCTGAATCATCCTCGGCGAATGTGACGTTTCCAATCCACAGGATGGCAGCTAACATCCGGAACACGTTATCTTGTTCGGGTTCGCTCATACCGATCACACCCATTGCGTTCAAAGTATCCCGAAACTCCGCCGCATCATCGACTCCTGGCACATCGAAACACTTCGAGCGACTCGTGTATACGTAGGACTGGGGTTGTTGTACACCGAAATTGTCTACCTAATGTGTCAGCTGCGTGCCAATCGATGCCTCCCCAATGCCACATACCTCTGTATTTCTGCGGCGCAGCTTTGGTGAATTGGTAGAAGATATGGAAGTTTCGCTCATTCGTGATCTGCCCCACGACTCTCGATTTCTCCAGCAAGTAGTTGGTGATGTTGGCACCCACGGGCTCTCCCTGGGCGTTGAATTCCAACTCCAAGTACTTTCCGAAACGCGACGAGTTGTTGTTGCGCAGAGTCTTTGCGTTACCGAAGGATTCCAGCAAAGGGTTAGTGGCCAAAACCATGTCTTTCGTCTGCTGGATCGATGAGTCGGTACCCCCGGATACGTTGGCGATGTACTGCATCAGGCGCTTGGCCGCCTCCGTCTTTCCGGCACCCGACTCTCCCGAAATAATCACACACTGGTTATCCTTGTATGACTTCATGTTGTAGTAGGCGGATTCGGCGACGGCGAACACATGGGGCGGGACTTCGAGTCGGTTCTTACCCCGGTAGGAGTCGAGCATTTGATCGGTATAGATCCCCACTATGCGGAAAGGGTCAGGCACGCGACCAGCGGGGGAGGGGAGCGGTAGTTTTCAGGGGCAACGGTACTTACAGTCGCGAAAAGGGTTGACGGACACCAACACATGTCCGATATAAGTCTATTTGGGCATTGAGAAGCATGGTTAGTGGGACGCACTCGCAGCGCTTGGCTGTGCGACTGGGCGGGGGGAGGGGAAGTGGTGGCCGGCTTACGTAGATTTCATCGTGTTCGAAGCGGAGCTTCAGGTTATCGTTGATCGCTTCATTGGAGATCTTACTGAGCAGGGTGAGATCGGAAACACCAATTTCCTTCTTCTTTGTGCTCTCGAAGGTGGCCTTCTTGACCTGCGGCTTGCCCGCTTGTCGTCCATCGCCCACATCCGCCGCCTTGGAGCGACCGAACCTCTTCTTCTCCCCACCGGCCGGGCGTCGCGAGTGTCCCTAATGAAGGATCGGAGTCAGCGTGGTTCGAGTGGATTGGCAATGTTGTGATGATGTCGTCTGTAGTAGGTGGCTGGGGGCTTTCAGCTCACCATAGTTGTTGTGAGTTCCGATCAGCCCGGAACTTGCGCCCAAGCGTCAAGATATCTGTCCTATCAGTGCGGGTGGTATAGAGTATATCGTGTTTGGGAATGAATTAGGAATGAACACAAGGAGGAAGGTGGTTCATTCCAGAGATTCAAGGAGAGAAAATTGTGAATAGTAGTTCTAAAAAAAGAAGATAGAGAAGAAGGGGAGGGGAAAGAGAAAGAGGGTCTATACGGAGGAGGAGGAGGAGGGAGGAAGAATGACGAATGGTGCCTGTGTGGTGGAGGACGGAGGAGGAGGAGGAGATGACTGACTGCGGACCGTCGGTCGAGGACAGTACGCGGGCGGTTCCTCGCTGCCGATGGGGCCTGCGCCACACTAGGATTAGTTGGATTAGTTAATTAGTTAACTTTTCTCTCGGGGCCTTTCTTACTCAGCCGAATACGCGCAATCAAGCACCAACTACGGAATCATTCCCTGTGTGTCTGTCTGTCTTGGACAACAAACTGTCCCCTCCGGGTTGTGGATTTCTGCCTAGAGGCAAATCGATCGCAAATTGCTTGCCTCGGACCCTGACGCTAAATATTCCATTAATTCCATCTTGTCTCCTTCCTGGGCCATGAAATAGGGATTTTCATGAATACAGCTGCGATAGCCCAAATCACAGTCCTCCGTACAGTACATCTATATGTGGCTGGAACTATTTTTGTTTTCCTGCCCAAGTGCGGGATTGCTTCCCCCTCACTACGTCACGCCTGCAGTCAGTCTCACTTCGCCGTTCTAGCCAGTCCCTGGGACTTTTCGCTACCCATTGACAATGCCCGATAAGGGGTCAGAAAGGGTCAATTACCTGTAAAGTTGTAAAGTGCCAGTCCTTTCCACAAAAAGTATTCTCCATCACCATTGGGACACAGGCCTTCGGGCCACCCTGACCACCGCCGGAGCAATCTCGCCGTGCCCCACTGTTCGGATATATCCCTCATCCTACCCCTGGATCAATAGTCGCAGACATTGGGCCACCACAGTCTTTCTGTAAAGAAGGGATGGACAGTACTTTCCCTAGACAGGTCATAGTAGCAATGAGCCCATAACAAGAAACCCATCTGACCGCTGTCAATCGCTGGGAATGTCTGGGTTGCGTAGCCGTTTAGACAACAGCATTCCTCTGCTCCGTACCCTGGATGACATTCAATGCAAGTGGAGCCGTCGTCAACGGCCAACGTCATATACCATGCAACGGTGCAGGGCTCGCACGTGGATCAGGCATATCTTGGAGATTGCTGATGTAGTCCTGGATCGAGGACAGGAGGCATGAAGCGTCTGCAATCGGGATAGTAGGCATTATAGCGGGGAGGGATTCGAGCATTCTATCATAATATATATTCAGATTCATGGTGAGGTTCCGTCACAGGGAGGATCGATTACATTATTTCCAGTACTACCAATCCATTGAGACTGGATTTGCCGCTTGCGCTAGCGAACGGTGCATCTGACAGCAGATAGGCTACGGCGATTCTTCGAGAGCCACCATCGCTGTGCTGTGCGAGGCGTTTCAAGCGATATAGGGTGTCCTGCCGATTGCACGGGTCAAGGGATGCAGGAGTTAGGAGAAGAATTGCGAGGGACCCTGCACTGTGTTGCAATGGGAACTTGAAATCTATGTCTTGAAGTGTGGAGTCTGATTTCAACATCGATTAGTTGCTGAACCGTCAATGATGGTGGTAGCAGACCTCTCATAACCGTTGATGTTGACAAAATCGGCCCTAGGACTTTCCATATGGGCTGCTCGCGCAACGAGGAACTGAAAATCCCTTGGATACCGGTAGAGATTTGCATGGTTTGAGAGACGCCGTCGGACACGAATACCAGGATAGTGTAAGTGTATCAGAGAGGAGTTGATTAAGTCTATGCGGAACATCATTCCGCTTCTATATATCTAGAGCCGGCACCACTCCAACCTTCTCCCTCCCACGCGGTAATATACAAAGGGTATCCAGAAGCATCAGCAAACCATGTACTCTCCCCGATATATCTCCCCAACTTCTATCTCATTATATATACAGAACCGTCACCAAGACAATTAGGCGCCCACTAAGCTTTCTTCGGCTCTGCTGCATGCCCATCACGGCCCACTGGAGCGGGAAATGCCACTGGTGCAGGCTGTTGCGCCTCACCGGTCGATGCCGTGCTGACACTCTTGCTCTCGTTGATCACCGCTTCAGCTCGCTGTTCCGCGCTCTCCCCGAACGAGAATAACGACGCCACGCGGGTGAGCAACCCTGGAGTCTCGACCTCCTGGGCCGTCTCCTCCGGCTCTTCCCACACCCAGCGCGGCAGGATCCGCTTCGACGACTTGGACAGCTCCCCATGCTTCGCCTTCAGCTGTAGCAGCTCCTTCTCCAGCGCGATCAGCGCCTCCCTCGTCGCCTTTTCCGTCTGCTCCAGCTCCGCCAGCCGGGTCTCCACGTCCTCCCGGCGCGTTGTCTCCTTCCGGCGCGACCGCCACGATTCGAACACGATCAAGCCCCCCGCCACCAGGAACAAGAACGTCTCACTGATGAACGTCGCGCCGGATTCGATGGCCTTGGACTCCGACAGCGGCCGGATATGCGGCTTGGGCGCTGGTTTGGCCGCCTCTTGGACCTTGGCGAGGGCCGCCTCTTCCGCCTTGGTCTCGGCCTCGGTCTTGGCCGTCGGGGAGGTGGGTTTGAGCTTGCGAAGCTCTGCCTCGGCCGCGGCCCGTTTCTGAGATGCGGCCGTGTCGCGCAGGCTGCCTAGGCGGAGCCGCATGTCGATGCGGTGGAGCCCTTGCGCCATGGAGACGCAGATCCGGCGGAAACGTTCATGTTCGCGAGCCTGTGCTTTGAGTTGGTTCTTCGAAGGTGGTCAGTAGTCATTCACTCGTGGATGGGTTGGCGACGCGGAGCCGGTTGGGAGAAGAGCTTACGGCGATCGGCTTCGACAGTGTGCGGATGACAAGGGAGGAGAGTTTGAGAGTGAGAGACATGATGTGAATAAATTAGGAAAGAAGAATTAGAGATAGTCAAAAAGGTTGGTATGAATAGAATCCATGCAGAGTGTTCTTAACGAGGTGTGGTCTGGAGATCTTCATGCATTGCGGCTGGCTGTCGTCTTGTATGGGTCACATATTGCGGAAATCGGTCTGGATTATCAGGCTGGCATTGACAAGCATGTGCCCGCCCGCACTTCAGTAAGCAGTAAATTCCCTGTGCATAAATGCCGGGACAATACCTGCTGATGTCAGCAATGTAGCCGTTGTTGCGGCAGTCGGATCAATGTTTATCGATTGCCATTTCGGGTAATCCGTTTGGCAAGCCCTGCCTGGCGCTGAGCCCAGCCGGCCGGGGGAACTTTCTCCTTGGTCTTCCCTGAATACATTTACAATACTTATCCCTACCGGACACCTGCTGAACCACCGCCCCCACCTCTCCCTCCCCCCCTCCTCCCCCCCCTCTCCCTCAAACACAAAAACTCTTTGGGTTGTGCGGCGTTATATGCATGGCTTTGTGTTTTTAAGCGTCATTGTTTCATAATTTTGTTGATTCCCGGTATGTCTGTCTTGTTGCTGGCCCAGTCTTTTTGCTGCCACCGTGCTCTGCTTGTCGGTGGTTCTCCCGTTGCTGCCGTGAAAGAGTCCCTCGACCCATCGATCAATGACCGGCGTTGGAGCTCCCCGAGTGGCGACGCGCGCATATCATCTTATCGCTTCACGTTACTAACCTCTCAAAAAGATACTCAGGCATCAATCGGTTCATTATACCTCCCTATCGTCCCATTCGCCCTTCCTTGACTATCTCGACCGCCCCATCTGATGTTCGCTACGCCCGACTTGCCCGAAGCTGCTGGTCTGTCTCTGGTCGCAAGCATTGATACCCAACTATAAGACGCGACGTCTTGTGAGTGCAACATGTTGGACGCATTGTCACCGCGATCCACCAACCAAGTGATCAGACCAAAGGTGTCGATGGAGCGTAAAGTGCTGGATAAAAACGCTGCCGCTGCCGCCGCCGCTCAGAAAACCTCGTCGTCGAAGAACCATGCGCCACCACCGCCGTCATTAGTCGTTGAGCCCGAGGAGGATGGAGAGCAATACTCGACTGGGGCGTTCCTGGGAAAGGGAGGCTTTGCGATTTGTTATGAGGGGACCCTGCTGCGCAATGGCCGCGTCTTCGCTATGAAAGTAGTCCGGTCTGAAATGGCCCAGAAGAAGATGCAAGAGAAGGTATTGCACTAGACGCGCACTTCGCTGTCGAACGATTACTGACCTTGCCGCGCAGTTCCGAACAGAGCTTCAGATCCATTCGAAAATGCGCCACCCCCATATCGTCGAGTTCCATCGCGCCTTCGCCTTCGACAGCTGCATATATGTCATCCTGGAATTATGCCCGAATGGATCGGTCATGGACATGGTAAGGAAGAGAAAATGCTTGAGCTTACCCGAGGTCCGACGATTCATGATCCAGCTCTGCGGTGCAGTGAAATATCTGCACAAGCGCAATGTCGCACACCGAGACTTGAAGATGGGGAACCTCTTTCTGGACAAGAACATGGACATCAAGGTCGGCGACTTTGGCCTCGCGGCTATGATTGTATCAGAGAAGGACGAAAAGCGAAGGAGAACACTATGCGGCACACCAAACTATATCGCGCCGGAGGTTCTTGATCGGAGCAAGGGTGGACACACTCAGAAGGTGGATATTTGGTCATTGGGTGTTATTTGGTAAGTATCCTGAACTACCTTGAACGAACCTCAGGCTAAGTATGTGCAGCTTCGCTATGCTTACAGGTTACCCGCCATTCCAATCTAAAACGCAAGAAGAGATCTATAAGAAAGTTCGAAACCTGACATATGTCTGGCCCAAGGGGGCCGAGTGCGCCAACCACATTCCTGAAGAGGCTAAAACCCTCGTGAGCTCGTGTCTCAATCTGTCAGAAGATGAACGCCCCGAACCGGATGACCTGGTTGAGCATCCATTCTTCAGCATGTACGAGGGCTGCATACCGAAACGTCTAGATCCGAGAAGCTGCCTCAACAGGCCTGTCTGGTTGAGACCGGACGAGCCTCGTGGCGATCACATGAGGATGGGTTATAGTTTGGAGTACGACGACAGGCTTTCTGGGTATATAGAACACGTGGACGACCCAAGTCAGCGATATGCCATATGTAGAGCCGCGTTCTACACGCTATGCGGAGTGGGCCGGAAACCGGATGGCTCTGCGCGCAAGGCTGCGGGCAGAAACTGCTCGAAGTCCGCTTATGCCGAGTGTTTAATTGAGGAGGAAAGAGGTTTCCAGCCGGTCATCCCGTTGCCGGAGGACATTGTGTACAAATACCCCAATGTACCAGATGGAGATTGGAGTGACCCGGTATCTGCTCTCTTGGCCCGAAAGGATGGTTCCTCATTCGACGAGAGTGTGCTTTCCAGGAAAAGCAGTGGATCTGTACACGCTAATGCAGCTTCACTTACCCGCACTCAAGCAGCACTGGCCGCTGCGCAGCAGCGACGGAAGGAGTCTCAGAGCCACGCAGCGACGCTCCGGCAGCAGGCTGCTACTGGCAGAGGATCTGTCCGGAAAATATCCGCGATCTGCGAACCTCCAGCCGCAGCAGCACGGGCTGTTTCCGACGGAAGAGGTGTCGACTCTAACGTTGCAGCTGCAGTGCCCATTCCCACAGGTGGACTGGCTGAACGCCCTATCCGAGCGCGCCGCGGCGTGACGGCGTCCTATTCTAGCTCGTTGCGCGACTTGGATCGAAATATTCCACCGCAAGCGTTGTCGAGCAATGGTCCCGGCATACTTACTATTGGCAAAACGCGATCACAGTCCCGTAGGCTAGAGGCTGCTAGCCAAGAAAGCACACAGACGATGCCGGTTGTGCAAGAGCGCGTGGTGTCGGCAACAGCAGACAGCAAACCTGTGAAAGCACGCCAATCATCCCTCCGCTCAGCCCCAAAGGCGGAGCCCACTGAAGCATCAAAGCCAAGGTCAGAGCCTAAGGGGTCTTCCAGCGAAGGCTCGACCGGGGAGCGAAAACTTGTGCGTTCTGAGACACAGTCTTCACAGTCGACCAACAGCTCCAGCAGCAGGGCGACTACCTCATCGGGTATCAAGCCACGATCGACGTTAGGGGCTCATCCTCTCTTTCACTCGAGTGACCCCTGCGAGATACTCCCAAGGACATCGCTCGAAGATGTGAATACCGACCTGAGACACATGCTAGCTAACATGGTACCGCATTCTGCAGCACGAAGAAGGGCAGGGCTGCGCAGAACGCCTCACTCGTATGTCATCAAATGGGTCGATTACACTAATCGGTACGGAATCGGCTATGTGCTGGACGATGGCAGCGTGGGGTGTCTATTCAAGGCTGAGCACAGCCAGCAAGCGAGTGGCGTGGTGGTACGGGACGGCGAAAGACATATTCGCCGCAAAGCCCGTAGCCAGGAGGATGGGCACTACGTATACCCGGAAGCTGACCAGCTGATTCCACGACACGGGAAGCCGGTGGAATTCTACGAAAACTGTAATCTGAACTTTTCCGAATGCCGCGGCGGAATTCGGAAAGCGTCCATTTCGCCGTCACTATTCGAAGTGAAGAGTTCTTCCAGTGGCTCGTCAGGTTCTGGTATCAAAGTCCGCACCAATTCGGGCATTGACTGTGCGCGTG